GAAGCCAGTTGCTTGATTCAAGCCCAACCTTTTAACTGATTTAAGCCTTGTGTCTATGCCTTGAAAATATCTTGAGTCGCATAGCTTCTCAAGTTTTTTATTTCTTCTGACTAGTTTTAGCAGTTTGTGGGTTTCTTTTTACTGGATTTTAACACATTGCATTCTTGGCTCGTTATCCTAGGTAGAACAATACTTATAGATTTATCTGCAGCAAGTGGTAGTTAAAATGCATGTAATAAAGGAAAGTATAGTAATTTCATGCAGTAAAAATCCATGGTACTTTCGCATGCTTGCATGTCTGTGTATACGCATGGTTGGATTTGGGGTGATGATCATTAAATTGATCTTTTCAGTTTTAAATTGAGTCACAACTGTGATGAATTTATGTGTTTTCATGCTGGCAGATACGGCAAAACGATAGACTAGCTGTAAATAAGCTGGTTAGTAGTTTGACTAGGGGAAGTGTCCACTCTCCTTTAGCCCAGTGCCTATTGATACGTTATACTAGTCAGGTACTCACCATCTCTAAATATCTTCGCCCTTCTGCCAACCTTTTTGTTCATAAACATTGTGAAGTAATTGGTGAATCTGCAGGTTATTCGTGAATCAGCCAATAGCACTCAAACTGGGGATTGCCCTTTCTATGACTTTCTTGAGGGCTGTCTGCGCCATAAGGCTGAGATGGTGATTTTTGAGACTGCTAGAGCAATTACAGAGCTCAGTGGTGTGACAACCAGAGAATTGACGCCGGCAATTACAGTTCTTCAGCTCTTTTTAAGCTCTTCTAAGCCAGTGCTGAGATTTGCTGCAGTTCGTACTTTGAACAAGGTTGATTTATTTTCCTTTGCTAAGTAATACATCATGCTATTATATAGATATCTATGTTGTTGGTTCAAGGAAAATGAAAGCTAAACACTTTAGTGAAAGGGGCTATGGTAGTTTCTTCTGCAGATTTCAGAAGTTCAACCACGCTTATGGAGCTTGTTGAAATTTCTGTTACTATATTGTTTAACAAACATATAATTATATTTCAGTCATAAATGATTGTTGTTTCTTTCTAATTCAGATGCATGTATGTATCTGTGCATTCTTATGGTGTGACTTAATATCTTTTCAGGTTGCAATGACTCATCCCATGGCTGTCACTAACTGTAATATTGATATGGAGAGTTTAATTTCTGACCAAAATAGAAGCATTGCCACACTTGCTATCACTACCCTTCTCAAGACTGGAAATGAGTCAAGTGTGGATCGCCTGATGAAGCAGATAACTAACTTTATGTCTGATATTGCTGATGAATTCAAAATTGTCGTTGTGGAAGCCATAAGATCATTATGCTTAAAGTTTCCATTGAAGCACAGATCTTTGTAAGGGATACTTGGCTTTGCATTATTGGTCAGTAGGCTTCTGTAAATGCTTCTTTTTTATTGCCTTAAAGAACTTTATATCCATTGTTGTCTTCAGGATGAATTTCTTAAGCAATATTATAAGGGAAGAAGGTGGATTTGAGTACAAAAAGGCCATTGTAGATTCAATTGTGATTCTAATCAGAGATATCCCTGAAGCAAAGGAGAGTGGATTACTTCATTTGTGTGAGTTCATTGAAGACTGTGAATTCACGTATCTTTCCACACAGGTAGCACTTTCATTTATTATCTTGCATCTTCTCTTTTGTGCTCTTTATACTTTTTTTTCTCCCACCTTTGACTTCTATTAAATTTGTCTCAACATTGTCTTATAGATACTTCATTTTCTGGGGATTGAAGGCCCAAAAACCTCAGATCCAAGCAAATATATACGGTACATTTACAACCGTGTGCATCTTGAGAACGCAACTGTCCGTGCTGGTGCAGTGAGCACCCTAGCAAAATTCGGTGCTATGGTTGATACATTGAAGGTTTGAAATCTTAATTATTATCTTTCGTTTTTCTGAAGTAATCTCAACCTGCTACTCATTGCTTATCTATTTAAACTCGAAAATCTTGTGTTACTCTTTTGCAGCCCCGCATATTTGTTCTCTTAAGACGCTGTCTCTTTGATAATGATGACGAGGTCAGTCTGTTTTGAATAACATCACATTTGTACAATTGTATTATATGCTTATGCATTCATTGTTGTCCCTTTATTTGTTATTCATTTTTGTTGCATTCTTAATTCCAAGCTGTGGAAACTCAAATATGCTTTTTTTTCTTAATATTCCAATAATTTAAGGACTTTTAATTGTAGGTTCGTGACAGGGCTACACTCTATCTTAATACACTTGGTGGCGATGGTGCAGTTTTCCAAACTGGTGAAGATGTAAAGGAGTTTCTCTTTGGTTCACTAGATATCCCTCTGGTGAACTTGGAGAACAGTTTGAAGAATTATGTAAGTTTCTAAATTTCTATTGCACTTTTTTCTAGTTTTAAGGTCATGATGTCATGTGTTTAATTTGGGTACAGGAGCCATCAAAAGAGTCTTTTAACATTAATTCTGTCCCAAAGGAGGTCAAGACTCAGCCACTTGCTGAGAAGAAAGCTCCAGGTAAAAAGCCAATTGGTCTTGGTGCTCCTTTTGCTGGCCTTCCATCAAGTGTTGATGCTTATGACAAGCTGCTTTCATCAATTCCTGAGTTTTCAAACTTTGGCAAGCTTTTCAAGGTACTTTCATTGACTTTGCTTGTGTGTTCCATGCTTATAATGATTTAGACATTATTCCTATTTTGGTTACTAATGCCTTGTTTCCAATTGTTATTGGCCAGTCCTCTTCACCTGTGGAGCTGACAGAAGCAGAAACAGAATATGCAGTTAATGTGGTCAAACATATTTTTGATGGTCATGTTGTGTTTCAGTACAACTGCACCAATACCATTCCGGAGCAATTATTGGATAATGTAATAATCAAATCACACCAAGCATCTATAAATTACTTAAAACCTGTGATAGAATATCTTGATAACTTAATCTGCATGGTACCAGGTCACTGTTATTGTGGATGCTTCAGAGGCTGAGGAATTTGCTGAAGTAGCTTCAAAGCCTTTAAGATCACTTCCATATGATTCACCTGGACAGACCTTTGTGGCATTTGAGAAGCCAGAGGGGGTCCCAGCTGTTGGAAAGTTTTCAAATATGCTAAGGTTCATCGTAAAAGAGGTATGGCTCCTTCCCTTTTTTGCTCAAGCAAAATCTGTAGCTTGTTAAAATTCTCCATTGTTTGAATGTGCAATGACCGGACATCAGGTTTAAATTGGTCCTGAATTATAGCACATTTTGCGAAGACCACAAAACAAGTTTAAATTGATTCTGGATGATAGCATGTTTTGTAAAGAAATCTCATTTGCTCTCCCTCTCCTTCATTTTGGCACGAATTGAGCGAGTTTAAGCTTCCATTAATACACCATAGAGAGTATGTTTTCCATAATGAGCTGGACACTTTAGGTGGTTTTCCTATCTCATGTTTGCATTGGTTCTGCTAGGTCGATCCAAGCACTGGTGAGGCTGAGGATGATGGAGTAGAGGACGAGTACCAACTGGAGGAGCTTGAAGTTGTTGCAGCTGATTACATGTTGAGGGTGGGTGTCTCTAATTTCAGGAATGCATGGGAAAGCATAGGTGCAGATTTTGAGCGTGTAGATGAATATGGACTTGGCCCAAGGGATAGCCTGGCTGAGGCTGTTAATGCTGTCATAAATCTTCTTGGCATGCAACCCTGTGAGGTAAGTGCCAGTGTTTTTCTTTTGTTTTTCTGTAATGGTGTTGCTATGGGTATGCTGTTTACACTTAATCTTAACTGCCTTACATTAGACTGTCAAGTACCATATCATATTTTTACACTGCAACTCCCATTGTAATTGGATGGTCTTTTTCTGTTGGTGTCCAGGGCACAGAGGTTGTCCCTAGCAATTCCAGATCACACACCTGTCTTCTATCTGGAGTATATATAGGCAATGTCAAGGTGCTTGTGCGGTTGCAATTTGGAATTGATGGTCCAAAGGATGTGGCAATGAAACTTGCTGTTAGATCTGAGGATGAAGCTGTTAGTGATGCCATTCATGAGACTGTAGCTAGTGGCTAGGTTGTTAATTCATTTTTCTTTTTTTTTTTATTTTATTTTATTATAATTTTGCCTCTAATCCGGCTTCTATATATGTTGTGGTTTTATATGAGATCGGAATTAAATGGCTGTAGAAAGTGGCTAGGTTGTCAATTAATTTTTCTTTTTCTTTTCTTTTATTTATTTATTTATAATTTTGCCTCTAATCCGGCTTCTATAGATGTTCTTGTTTTATATGAGATCGGAATTAAAGGGCTGTAGAATCTTGAAAAGCTTGTAGAAAGAATTGCAATGCCCCTTATTCCCCTTTTTTTTTTTTTTATTTCTAATTCTTTTGTTGGATTAAGTATAGGATCCATAGCTTTGCTTGATTTTATGAATCATGAATTTTGAGGTGCAGTTGCTTTTCTTCTTGTCATATTGAACGCTCGATAATTTTGTAGTAATCAGCATTAATATTATGCCAAATTTGAACGAGCCCTTATATATATATATATATATATAGGAATATGATGTTTGACTTCAGGGTTGTGATGGTTGACTTTGATGTGAACTTATTATCGCTCAAGTTTTCCCACAAATAATTGCCTCGAGCCCAATGTAGAAGACGCAACTGTATTGTACTTTATCTTTTGATTTTAAGTATGAGAAGGATAAAATATTAAAAATGTTTTTGAATTAATGTTTATATTTTTATTGTATTTAAGTATACAAGTTTTTATCTTTTATTTGTATTCGAGTAAACCCTTGTTTAAAAAATTCATATTTCCAACAACAGATTTATTTATATTAAAAGTTATTTAAATATATACTAAAAATTAATAGCTTTTTTAAATTTAAATTAATATTCAAAAATTTATTTGAATGCAATTAAAGTATAAAAAACTTATGCAAATAAAGTAATAAAATTCAAAAGCATTTTTATTATTTAAGTCAAATGGCAAACAAAACAAAACTGTTAAAGATAGACGGCAAAGCAGAAAATTTACTTCAAGGCATTGAGTTATAAACAATCTGAAAGCTCAGGAGCATTGAGTTGTTATAAACACAAATGTTATAGGAATTGGGATTAAAGGAAACCAAAGTAAGACGATTGAGTTGGTAGCACTCAGGTTACAATTAGTTGCTACTATGGGAGAAAAAAAAAATTATCACAATCAGGCAAAAGCTAACCAAATGCAAATGAACCTTTCTGCCAATACAAGTTCTCAAGCCATACTACCTTTTATCTTTCTTTACCCACTAATAAAATTGACTTTTCGACATGAAAGTTACAAGCAACAATAAAAGATCAGGGTTTCCCAAACCATAAACATGATTGAACTACAAATGAATCTTCCAGATAGGATCATGCAGGAAGGACTCTATTGGGAAGAATGGACCTGACATGGAGAGGATTGGCAACATGGAAATAGTTTCCTGTCTTAGGACTCAAGTCACCCTCCTGTACCCTCCAAATGCCCAAATCTGCCATGCCAAGAATGATATCACATTCAGCAGAAATTCGGAATTTTCAATTTTCCATTAATATTAATACATACTAGCTTCAGTTAAAAGAAAAAAAAAATTAAAAGAACAGAAGAGAACAAGTAGGCAGGGTTGGTTTTCATTTCTACAAGTTGCAAATGCATTTGATAAAATGACAACATAGACTAACCTTGAGATAGGTTGGTTTTCATTTCTACAAGTTGCAAATGCATTTGATAAAATGACAACATAGACTAACCTTGAGGTTTGTATCCCAACTTCCTGTACATAAGGCACTACCATCAGCTGACAAACCCAAACAGCTAATCCGGTTCACATGTGAGTTCTGGAGAGATCTTAAGTTCAAAACAACCTGCCAAAAGAGTAGGTAATTAGAACCAGTGCCTACCATATGCCAAAGTCGATTCACCTATAAATCATTTGAGCTCATGCTTGATTGAGATAGTCAAAAGAATGGGAGAACAAACAAGTTGAAAGTGCAGTGTTCCCAAGCTAAAAAGTTAGGGCTAAAAGTAAAAGACAGCCTCAGATAACACAAGGATTTCCTAAATTAACGTCTATAACTCACTAAAATTCACGCTTCGTATGAAGTATTTCTGCACACACCACAATTGACCTGAAGAAAGGAGGAAACTCAATAAAACTCTTTATGCTTTCAGCTAAAGCATTTATGAAGCATCTAAGTCAACAAAACAAAACCAATTTGCAGGCTATGCCGGTATAATTTAGATCAGTGTCGACCAAAAGACAACATCACCAGATTCAAGAAAGAATTGAATCTTCAAGGCAAAAATATCTTTATGAAGATATTAAGAAATAATTCAGGTTCTCAAGTCAGAGGGCTGGAAAGATGCGGAAGGGGAGAAAAAAAAAGGGAGGGGGGGGGGGTGGCAGTTGAGTTATGTACCCTTGCCAATAAAGTGTCCCATACATAGCAATCTCCATTTAAGTATCCAGCAAAGAGGAGTCTTCCAGATATGGAGAACGCAATCGAAGTCACATGTGGAACGTCATTATCACCATGTTGCTGATAGTATCTTTGCAACTGGTGACCAGTTCTGATATCAAACAACCTGCAGGTTCCATCATCTGATCCAGTTCCAAACCGATTGCCATCTGGAAAGAACTTCACAGTGTTAACATCACCCTCATGACCATGAAACGTACGCACTGCTCGACTTGCAACCCGAGTATCCCACAATCGGGCAGTTGCATCACACGAACCAGAAACAAACATTCTTGAGTTTGACCCATTAATTGAGACACTGAAAGAATGAAAAAAGTAACATTGTAAAACAAACTTATTAAATGTAGCATTGTGAAACAAACATATTATCTTTCATAAGAAGTTTCTATAGTATTACACTTATTGCAAACATTAACATCACTGGTCACAGGGTCCATCATATGACTAATAAAAGTAGAATAAATCAATCAGATGCAATTTAATATACAGAAAGTGAGGTTTAGGCTTCCTCAAGGTTATAACCAGCAGTTAACAAGTATAACAACCATTATATTATTGGAAACTTTTCTAATTCAACTTCATACCCAGGCCACTTCATAAAAATATTGAACACGCCCTAATTGCGAATCACTGACTTGGTAATCCAACTAGACCAAAACCAACTTCCCTTGCAGTTGATTCACAAAGGCCACTATTTTTTTAACTTCTAGATAAACATTTGGCATGATCTTATAAAGATACCAGAGAAAGAATTGTAATTGGACACAATTCTTATTAAAAAAGGCTGATGCAACATATAAGTTGAGCCAACATAAAAAAGAAAAAAACACTAAAATACCACAACACATCAGCGGTATGTCCAGATTGAAATTCTCCCCCAAAAACTGAAGTCCTGAGGCCTGTTGTAATATCCCATAGAACACATGTCTGATCACCAGAACTGGTAATAATGTGAATGTCTTCATCTGGAACATACTGACAACATGAAACATAGCCCTTATGCCCACTAAGGGTTTTTGATACTGGTAGATTTCCATCCTTGTCAGTTGGTGAATTCAAGTTGAAAATAGAACACATACTATCAAGACCACCACAGGAAACTGATTGACCCGTTGGAGAAAAAGCACATGTCATAACCCATGCACAAGGCAGCTTTATGGCATGAGTTTTCTGGCTTGTTAGAGCGTTCCACACAATTAAGCGTCCATCCTGAGAGGCACTGACAATTCGATTTCTTTCTGGAGTCCAATCCAACGAGTATACCTGCATGGTTCTTGGAAATTAAATTCATATGTAGCACATTATCGATAGTCAGCAGTATGACAAATGATCTACAATTGAATGAAATAAAGTTGACTTTTTGCATCATTCTGCAGCAATAAAGGGGTTGCATACTGTCCAAACCATCAAAATGCTGATTTGCTTTAATTTAGAAATTGTTTTGTTCCCATTTCAGCAAATAACGAGGGGAAAAAAATTGCTTCAGAAGGTCTCACTTCCCAGTTTTCAGGATAATCTACAATAACCAAACCACATTTTTTTCTACCCACAAAGCATTTCATTTGTCATCACTTATCAGTTATCTACGTAGCAAGAAGTATTCCTTGTTCCTGGGAGAAAATAGACATGCAACTGCACAAACATGAATCATTCATCCACTTGGGAGCTGGGAAAGACAGACACATCATATGTTGGGGTGCCAAAAAACAGAATATGAAACCTGTTCATCTCCAAATTATGTAGTAAAGAAATTTGCAAGAAACTAAACCATTGGAGAAGAAGAAAAAAAAAAACCCATGTTCCAAAGCAATTGAACTTTAAATAATTGCAATAACAAGCTAAAAAAAAAAAACAAAAAAAGAATACCTTGCCAGTGTGACCTTGCAAGGTCCTGCAACAAACCAGATCCGTTGGGCCAAAAGTAACTGGACTCCTCCCTTGGGAACTTGCATATTCGGCGACTACCCATAATTTACCCAAAAACAAAAAGCAGATCTCAGAAGCAAATTGTCAAATTTCCCAAAATTAAAACAATAAAAAGAAAAAAAAAAGATTGAAAATTGCCACCATCCGTATCGAGCAACTGCTGGCGTCTCTGCCTCAGTTGCTCTCTTAGATTGTTCACTTTCTCCGTCGCCGCCGCGTGCTTCTCTTTCAGCTCCGCAACGGACATTTTCTTACTCTTTTTTTGCTTAACAAAATTTGACTAAAAAAAGAACCATTTTTTATTAGTTTTTTACATTGGCTTATGAAATCAAGGCCCCTCTCTACTCTTATCTATGGATTCATAATTAAACGGGAAACAAACCCATAAAAAAGAAAGGAACTTTTTTAGTGATAGTGAAGGTGGTGATGACTGCAAGATTCTGAAGGAGTAAGAGAGAGAGAGACAGAGAGAGAGAGAGTCATGGTTGGATTGGTAAGGCTTGATAGAGTTTGACTGACGCCGCCAGGCCCACCCTGTCCCACGTGGTTATCTACTGGGACCCCTCGACACCCTTCTTTTCCTTTTCCCTTTTACCTGGTTAAATTCCCTGTTCTTTCATGTTAAAAAGGAAAAAAACACCGAAAGCAGAAGTCAAAGCAAAAAGGTCGAAGCCAGTTTATAAACGTTGGATGCAAAAAAGAGTAACGAATATTGACATGTTGATTAAAACATGTATGTATTCGACGTAACCAAGTGTTAGTGTTTTAAAGAAGAAGATTGTATGGTTTGAAAGTCAAATCCTAGAGGGCAGAGGAGAAGCAGTCTTCCTTCACATGCCATGGGAAGTTTGGTTTGACAGTTTGTAGAACCCTACGTTCCCTCACAAGGTTGTTACGTTTCGAATATATATGTGCATATATATATATATATTGATTTATACTTTTTATTAACCATTGATTGAGATCGATAGAAAAAAATGAAATCGAGTTTTTTTTTTTTTTAATCTTTTGGATTTAATAAACTCAATGGTTAAAAAAAATGTAAAATTATATATATATATATATATATAGAGAGAGAGAGAGAGAGAGAGAGAGGATAAATTTCACTAAAAATTTTTTACATATTTTTTAACTATTGATTTTATTAGATAAATTTTTAATTTAATATAATATATTTTTAAACATATATGTATAGAATTTTGTATATAATAATATTATTAACAATCTATAAAATAAATATATACTATATTTAAAAATTAAATAAATAAATTTAAAAATATAAAAAATTAATATTATCAATTTATCATTATATTTTAAATAGTTAATTATCGTATAATATTTAAATGAATCTTTTTTTATATTAAAATATATTAAAATAAAAATAAAAAAATAAAAAAAATAACAAAGTCTTTATGATTATTAAGTTTTTTTTTAAATACAATTACTTTTATTAAAAAAATTGAAATATTTATAAATTTTGATTTGAAAAAATAAAATATAAAAGAAAACAATTTGTAGTAAAAAATTATATAAACCAAAAATTTAAAAATTATTTTATCTGTTAATTTTATTTTTATCAAATTAAAAATAATTAAATAATATAAAATATAAAATATAAAATATATTTTATATTTATATTTATATATTAATTAAAATAAGCTAATTCCCTAAAACTATTCGAAACTAACCGCTATTATTTAATACCAAATCTCATAAAAAAAGTCAAATTTAAATGTGCCGTGTATTGATATATATTAAGCATATTGGTCGGTACAATAGATACCAAAATAAAACTAACAACGACATTCCGTATCCTTACAAAAGCTAGATATCCTAACCACTAAATGACAACGGAAATTTGAGCTTCATTTAGTAACCACGAAAATCAGTTTGGAATATTATTTTTTGTGTTTTTCAATGTTTGGAAGAACAAAAATAACTTGATCAACAGAAATTGATTTAGGGTCAATGAAAAGATAAAGCATCACAGGCGGAAATTATCTTCCGTTTCTCTCTTAGGAAAAATAATTTTCAAAACAGCCACACAAACACCATTTCTCCTAATTTCAACAAACAAACTCACAAACCCATCAAACTTGCCACTATTAAACCCACAAATATCTCTTGATTCTTCATTTTTACCTTCAGAATGACTGAAATTTTACCATTATTGAAGTTATAGGTAAGAAAGTTATCCATTTTTTCTTAATTTTTTCATTTATCAATTTGCTTTCTTTATCTCTTTATTATTATTTTTTTATCTCACTTATTTGAATGTTGAAGTACAATCATTAAAGACAGCTCTAACTTTTACTTTTAACCAATCTCAATCTCGTACTTGTGACTTTTAGTTTTTAACATTTACTTCTAATTTGACAGAAACATTAAAATTTTTTAATTTTTGTAAAATTTTTTTATTGAATTGATAGATATGTACTCAATTCATGACATTGACTCAGTCAAAGATTGTATAATTAATATACTTGAATCAATTGAGTCACTATGGTTAAAATCATGTACTCAATAAATTAAAAAAACATTAAAAAAAAAACTTCACAATCTTTTTAAGTAACAAAAGACCAATAAATTTTTCTCAAAAACAAAAAAAAAAAAAAGAAACCCTCAAAAGCAAGGTACCACGGAGAAAATCAAAAGACATTTGGTTGGACAGCCAAACTATGGGCCTTTCCATTAGAATTTGCCACCTCCCTCTAACTTCAATTATTTGAGTTTCCTGGACCATCAACAGTTCTTAAGCCTGGTTGCTTTCAACGGTACGATCGTGGTACATTGTCTCAGTCTTGAGAATTTTTTTCAGGACATCTTCAATTCAGTTTAGACCAAAAGACAGAATCCAGAATCCTACGCAAGATCAACTTCTGAAATCTTGGGATTTGGAACCCCATTTTTACAAGACGTATCTCCATATGCAAACGCTGCATTACACTGAAGATAGACAAAATTAATGAGCCATCATGCATTTGCAGACAATGGTTTTGACCAATGCTCATACCTCCATAATCATACGTTAATCAGTGAAAATTCTGAACAACACAAGTAAAGAAAATCAGCTGAAGCTTGACATGAATCTACAATTTGGGCATAGATAATGCCAAAATCATTGACTATAAATAATACACTTTTATATATCATTGGATGCATAAAAAGAAAACCTGATACACAGACATTTAAGGATGACACCATTTTTAACCACTAAAGTTTTAGCAACACAATTTTTTCCACCCTTTACTTTATTAGATCAAATAATATAAGAAAGAAAAAAATCTGGACTGATCCAGATCAAAGGAGAAGAACTTTACAGTTAAAACTATGAAATAAGACCCACAAGGTAAATATGTCCCCACCACCTTTATTTAACTATTCATTTTCTTGGTTCAATTTCAAATCACATTCATCTGTCTTTTCAGGTGCTCCCACCAGGGTAGATGCAATTATTGTAACCTGCCATCAAAAGAAAATTTTCATTCAGAGAAAAAAAAAAAAAAAAAAAACAAACACTAAAACAAGAGATGCTTGTCTGAGAGGAAGGCATGGATACTAAGGTAAGGAGGAGTATTGGATCTTGTTCTTAAAGATAAGGCAGAGATGCTTGTCTGAGAGGAAGGCATGGATACTAAGATAAGGAGTATTGGATCTTATTCTGAAAGATAAGGCAGTCATAAACCACAAAATTAGAATTTCATAATCTTCATATTCCAAATGGACGCTTAACCCAAAAGGAGAACATTTTGAAATGTTAAAGATAAAACCCCTTATTAAAGCATAATCTTAAATAAAAGTCCATTTCCTTGTGTGAACACTTTATTCATTTGCTTACCAACAAATCTAAGCTTGAGAAACATGATGTGACTATGGGAACTATAAAATGACCAACTTTTGATGTAAAAGTTAAATTTTATAGAACTGAGATATAGCTGGAATAAAGATATTTACTAGGATTTTGGGATGTTAGTGTTGCCGTCTGCGAGAAGTCACAATTCCATGGATTCTTGGCAGAAGTCTGGTAGTAAAGGTTCATGGCATAAGCAGCATGTGATGCTACGGTATTTGGTTCCAAACAGGCACCTCCTGGTTGGATTGGACTGCAGTCAATACCTTGGCCACAGGCATAGTCTAGACTTGATTGCAATTCAGTATCAGAAATACCAGCCTTTGGCACACACCAACAATTTGCAGTTGGTATTGGTTGTGGAGCCACTGGATTTTGTGGAGACGATGGAGTCTGGAGCAATGAAAAAGCAGGGAAGAATGTCAATTACCAGACAAATAATACCATTCAGGAATTCCAGTAGCCTTCTTGTATGTCCTTAAAACTCGTAGCAGCTATTACAATGGATCATGCAATTCAAAAAGTTTGGAAATTTCTCGGAACACTTTCACCCAGGCCTTTATTTGGTGGAAGAAAATCATTTTTCAAAGGCAGAAAAAATAACGGATAACAAGATGTTGCATTTTTACAACTAATTTTATCAATAAAAATTATTTTTATTTAATTTTAATTGTAAAATATATTTTAAAATTAATCTAGTCTGACTAAGAATTTTTAAAAAGCTCCTTCAACTAAGAATCGTTTCTTCACCCATTATAGATAAGGGTTTTTCCTTTTTTTTTTTTTTTGTTGTTCAGATAAATAAATTAATTGACTCACCTGATCACTCTTTGAAATCCCAACATCGTATATTATTGAAAGGTCAGACCTGAAAAGTCCAAATGCTCGTTCAGAACCAGGACCTGGTTTCAAGTCCTCATCGTAAAGTGCAAAGAGGTATGTATCCACAGATTTTCCAGGCATCAATGGAGTCCCAACCATTGATCTCAGATGAGCAATCAAATTCCCATTATAGGCTTTGGCATTCTCGATGCTAGGTCCAACTTCATTACTGTCCCCGCTATATGGCCATCCTGTCTCAGCAACCATAATCTCAACATCCTTGAACCCCATAGCACTCAAGGCAGATTGCACTGCATCGACCTGCACATCATAATCAAGTCATAGAGCTAATCGTATTAAATCATTTGCATACACTCAGTTTCCAACTGATGGATCAACTGCTAAACTAGCATGCTGGATCAAATTCAAACAGAGCAACGTTTCAGTTATTTAGGACTAACCGTAAATATTTAAATTTCATAATTAATGGCCAAACTACTATATTATGGTAAGAATATAATTTTTTTTCCCAGTATATGAGGGTTACGTTTTTCTGGACCTAGTTGAATTTAAAATGTTCACTTCTATGATGCATTCATCTGCATCCAACCATAAACGAAATTCTAGAAGAACTAACCTAGAATTATTGCAACAACCAGCCAATCACCAAGCACACAAGTCACATCAACTACACTTAGTGCCTCCAATTATTCCATGAAAAAGGCCAAGAAAATTAAAGAGATACAATAGTAGTCTATTATAGTACTTAATAGGGATCACTAATTGGCTTTTTCTCACACAAATGCTGATATCACATGCATTACAGTGATTTTTTGTCATTTTAGCATCTGATAGTAATAAAATTCATAAATAATATGGTCCAGATCTTCACAGTTAATGGAGAAATGACGACAGAATGCAGATTTTTATGTGCAATGTCAGGATCTTCCACTCATTGAGTTTGGAACATGAATTTTTGTAAAGTTACTATATTCATAGGTTATGCCCTGGGCCAATTGCAACAAGATAATGAACTTAATCAAACTTTGCAACAAATTCAATAGTTGGATAAGTTTATTCTAAGACATAGATTCTGTCCAGGAAACGTGATAGAACAAGGGTTAATGAAGCAAATAACCTACCAACTCTTTCGTATATAGTGGCATATGCAATAAAAACATCATCAAAATCGTGACAAGCAAGACAGAAGCCTATCATCAAAAGCAAAACTTAAACAACAAACTAATGAACAATCATCAAATGACAAGTGCTATTATAAGTCACTAATCAACTCAACCTAATTAAGGGTGTCACCAGTTATTTCTTGAACTGATTCCTAAAGGAAATGTACTAGATAAACCTAACTTGCAATCAATTAGATTTTCCTATATCTACAAAGCACCCTGATCTAAAAAAAAAAAAAAAAGAGTTTGATCAGGCAAAGAAAGGAAAAAGAAATTGTGGGTTTAAGTCAAAATGTTAATCATATCGACGACAAAAAAAGTGAATTCATGCGATCCAATCCCTCAACATCCTACATAAATGTCGTGGACCAGTAACCAGAATTGACATAAACGTTATCTGTTATCTCTTTTAACTGGGCTTGGTCCAAAATAAACTAAGCTTAGCCCACCAAAAAAAAAAACATTGCAGTTTTTTTTCACATAACAATTTTTTAGGGAAGTACTTTGTTCGCACGTGAATGAAAATTCCATCAGCAGTTATTAAATAATAACTAACCTGTGCATCGAACATGTTCATGTACTTGATCCCGTTTCCCGAGTCAACTCGTCCCGCGTTAGGTTGAAACAAGCAGAAGGCAAGCGTTTCAGGTCTCGGGTCACTTTGATAAGCGAAAAATGGGTACGGATTAATAGCAAAAGGGGATCCATTGTCTTTCTGGAACTGAAGTAAGCCGTTCAATGCCGGTTGATAACTCGGGATAAACAACCCGGAAGATGGTGGGTCCGACTGATACAACACCGCCATTGAATGAACCGTTGAGACCTTGATCTTTCCACCGAGCGAGGCCGCGTTAAGGGCATTTTGGACATTTTGCAGCGCCGGCAGAAGCTGGTTTATCAGGTTCGGGTCATTTGTAGTCAAAACCTGTAAAGAGAACAAAAATTTTTACTTATGAACTAAAACAAAATCTTACTTTTAATGAAATTTAAGAAATTTTCAACCTTTTTCTCTTCTAAAAAATCATTTTTTAATCTTTTCAGACGTAAAAAAGGGAAAACTGTAAAGGACAAATGATGATTTTGGAAAGTGACCTCATTGCCGACAGTGATAAGAATGATGTTGCTAGCAGGGTAGAAAGGCAAAACATTGGAGTTAACCCACTGAGCAGCTGAGTTAGGATCCGAGGCCAAAGTTGGAATATCTCCATTCCCAGCTCCAATAACGATTCCAATTCCGGTGTTGGCTAAAGCTGTAATGATCGCTGGATCCGCTCCGTATAGCCTAACCTTCTCTATCAACGTGGATTGTAGAAGCTTCGCGGTGGCTGATGGTGGCGGTAAGTTGTCAGCTACTTGGCCATAGTTCACTCCAATAAACGGCTCTGAACCTATTTACAAAAAAAAAAACCCGAATCATTAGAGAAAGTCAAAATTTAAGTTGAGGTTCTGAAACTTGAGAGTGAAGTAACTGATACTGATGCTATTTCCTTCTGTGTTTTCTTTTCTTGGTCGAGGAAAAGGAAAAGCGATGTTGTTTGGGTGGTTAGAGACTTACTTGAGAAATGAAGGGAGAGGAGGACGAGGAGGAGGAAGAGGAAGAGAGTTGCCATAACAGGGAAGAGGGACAGTCAGAGAGGGAGTATGTGAAAGGGAATGTTTTTTTCTGATGAGTGGGTGTCGTTTATTGCTTAAGCTGAGTGTTTGAAACTAAGAAAGGGATGTGTTTGGAAAAATATTGGATCTTGGATTAGTATAGTTGCAAAGTACTCAGTTAATGCAACTGTTAAAAAGTTGTGGAAAACTTTAGAGGTTCAGGTTCTGGTTCTGGTTCTGATTCTGAAGTGGAAATCTTTTAACATTTGAACTGCCTGCACTGAGATTTTTTTTTTTTTATCAAATAATATTTTTTATTTATAACTTTGACATGATACTTTTGATATAATATTATTTAGATAGTAATTTTTTTTATGTATATGTATTTTTTTAATATGAGCATCAACAAAATTTTTCATTTAATAATTGAAAAAAAGAGAAGGATCTGACGGTGGAACCGAGTTTTCCATCCTCGTACTCATGGTCACACCCCTCGTGTGATGTTAGTTTTTCCGTCTCTTTTCCCTTTTTTTATTGGGGAGACGTCTGAAAGGAATGTAGGGAAGGTTTAGTAATAGAAACTCATGCCTTCCATTCACCATTTTACGTAAAGAACTTTAGTAGTTTTGGGAGTTTAGAACAATTACTAACTAGTCTTTAATCTTTATATTTTGGTTATTATGGTTCAGATTGAAACAGGTCAAATTTTTACTTAAAAAAATAAAGTGAAATTGAGGTAGCTAATTCGATCAAGGGATAAATTGTTGGATCAAAATGTTTTTCGATTTTAAATTTAGGAGTTGGTATGATGGTTTTGTTTCGTAATTCCAATATTAGGACTGGTTGACTGAATATCAAGTAACTTAAAAAAAAAAAAAAAAGGTCGACATTTATTTATTGTTCTGATTTTAACCTACCTAAAGCTGACATGCCTCAGATAAAATAAAATATGCTTTTGCCTAAATCAAGCGGTGGCACTACCTTGACTTGAATTTATAACCACACCATAACCTCAAATGGAGCAGCAAGCAATCCACCAACTCTATATGAGGACGAAACCAGTGTCGCTTTTTCGTACCTGGCTTTGGTTTATTTGAATCGGCCGTGTGCGTATAGGAATAGAAGATGTGGTAAATCACCTGTGCAGAACTTGAGCCAACAACGAAGGATTGCGTTGCGGCAGCTTCCCCCCGCTTTTGAAAAGAGATCTCCCATTGGACCAGACTTGTGATTGTTAACGTCAAATTCCAGCCCATTCCCAAATGTTCAAATACAAACAAATTCAGCAAACTCGAGACTTGATGTTGATTTGGAGGAGCACATGTTTGGACAGGCCCATGAACCATGTCTCAGATCCACGCCCACTTTCATCACCTACAAATCATACCTTCCGGTTTATCGAACGCAAGAAATTCTCTCCATCATTTGAGTGAATGATTGATGTATGTTATTATCGTTCAAATAATCGAATTCAAGTATCCCATTCTCCTAAATCTAAAAAAGAAATCCCTAGAGCACTTATCATTCACATGCTGATTTTAATAACACTTTACAAAACACATCGAATGATAGAAATGGGCCAGAGCTAGGAAGGACATCATTGTCATAAACGAGTGTACCCCAACCGTGTGAGAGTCGACTGAATCCAAAAAAGGTAAAGTCCTGTGCTTAAGCATTGTCATAATGTTACCATAGCTGGAGAAGGCAGTTTCAGCCTCAATACTACCAGCGTACCAATCAACTGTTCCTTTTGCATGGACTCAATAATTTTAGCCTAGTATTAACGAAGTTCCTAGTACGTTTCACGTTTCACATTTTATTACCTGAGTCCTTGTTTCAAGGACATCCAAATAAATAAGCAACGTGAATGTAAGAAAAACAGTATACTCACTCACATATTAATTCATTAAAGAAAAATGTTCGGCAGAACATTATAAACTTAAAAGTTACAATTACAACATAAATAGTTGCAAAAAGCACCAACTCATCTCCAGAAAACAAAAACAAAAAAAGATAACGGATGAGATTCAAACCAGATGATGACCAGCGGATATGTTGTCATAAATATATAGACGGAGATTGAATAAGGGTACAAAAGAAATCAAAATCACCCAAAGTTATCCAGAGCATTTGTTTGGACAGCCAAACTATGGGCCTTTCCATTAGAATTTGCCACCTCCCTCTAACTTCAATTATTTGGGTTTCCTGGACCATCAACAGTTCTTAAGCCTGGTTGCTTTCAACGGTACGATCGTGGTACATTGTCTCAGTCTTGAGAATTTTTTTCAGGACATCTTCAATTCAGTTTAGACCAAAAGACAGAATCCAGAATCCTACGCAAGATCAACTTCTGTAATCTTGGGATTTGGAACCCCATTTTTACAAGACGTATCTCCATATGCAAACGCTACATTACACTGAAGATAGACAAAATTAATGAGCCATCATGCATTTGCAGACAATGGTTTTGACCAATGCTCATACCTCCATAATAATACGTTAATCAGTGAAAATTCTGAACAACACAAGTAAAGAAAATCAGCTGAAGCTTGACATGAATCTACAATTTGGGCATAGATAATGCCAAAATCATTGACTATAAATAATACACTTTTATATATGATTGGATGCATAGAAAGAAAACCTGATACACAGACATTTAAGGATGACACCATTTTTAACCACTAAAGTTTTAGCAACACAATTTTTTCCACCCTTTATTTTATTAGATCAAATAATATAAGAAAGAAAAAAATCTGGACTGATCCAGATCAAAGGAGAAGAACTTTACAGTTAAAACTATGAAATAAGACCCACAAGGTAAATATGTCCCCACCACCTTTATTTAACTATTCATTTTCTTGGTTCAATTTCAAATCACATTCATCTGTCTTTTCAGGTGCTCCCACCAGGGTAGATGCAATTATTGTAACCTGCCATCAAAAGAAAATTTTCATTCAGAGAAAAAAAAAAAAAAAAACAAACACTAAAACAAGAGATGCTTGTCTGAGAGGAAGGCATGGATACTAAGGTAAGGAGGAGTATTGGATCTTGTTCTTAAAGATAAGGCAGAGATGCTTGCCTGAGAGGAAGGCATGGATACTAAGATAAGGAGTATTGGATCTTATTCTGAAAGATAAGGCAGTCATTGTCGTAACGATTTTGGGATCGTTAGACGTGAATGAGTTTTAAAATTGAAAAAAATAAAAGAAGTTACCACTAATCTTTGTTAGGGTGTGATTGATCACCCAAAAGTTTATCTTTTTAATAAAACTATAAAAACGGATTTAAAGTTTATCAAAAAGATAAATTTCGATTTACGAAAAATCAGGTTGGATCCGGGAGTCGGTTACGCGTGAGAAAAGATTAGCACCCCCACAACGTCCATAAATTAATATTATTTAATTACGCGCTATTTTCGGTGTTGAATAATAATGATTTTGACTTAAAATTTAATATTAATTCCCTTCGTTTTAAAAATATTTTGCTAAAATTTTTATTTAAAAATATTAAAAAAATCTTTAAGTTAAAGAATTATCTTAAAATTCTCCAATATCTAGGTATAATTTAAAATAATTTTTTTCGCTTAAGATTCAACACAATAATCCTTAAAATGAAATAACAATCTTTATAGAAAATAATTGTTAGTGACTCTCCAACATCTAGGTAGAGTACTAAGAATTATTTCTTTCGGAATGTTATTTTTATTTTATTTTATAATATCACAAAATTTTTTTTTAAAAGTATTATTCTTTTTATTATAAATATTTTATTATCAAACAGTAAATTAAAGATAAAATAATGTAGACAATTATTGATAATAAGATGCTAATGTATGTATACTAATGAATGTCATGAGAAATGAAATGCAATTTAATAGTTGGGCTCTTAAGTATAATGAGACCACCCCGACTCTCCAACATTTAGGCAGAGCTTAAGTGCGACTGTTTATATTTAAGATCTTAATTTTTTTATAATACTTTTTATTCATTAATTTTATTATTAATGCGAATTAAGAAATCGTGTGAAAAGACTTAATGAAGTAAGATTTTCTAAATACCCCATCATCTAGGCGACATTCGGGAACAAATTGCTTCAGATGAAATTTTCACACGTGTTCTTAAGATTTTTAAGAGGTTTTGAGTAAGGGCTTGAGTAGATATTTTGAAGGTTTGGTTTTAAGATTTAGAGGGTTTTAAGGCTTGAATTTTAGGATATGGAAGGTTTAGGGTTTTGATTTTAGAGTTTAGAGATTTTAGGGTTTGGGTTTTGTGGTTTGGGGTTTTGATTTAAGAGTTTGGATTTTAAGGATTTTGGATTTTGAGGTTTGGATTTAAGAGTTTAAAGGTTTGGGGATTTTGGATTTTTGAGGGTTTTGGATTTTAGGAGTTTTTGATTTTATGGGGTTTTGGATTTTTAGGGGTTTTAAAAACTTAAGATTTTGAAAATTAAAAATTAGTGTTTAAGGTTTAAATAAAACGCGAACATCTCTAAAAATTTTCATCATCTAGGCGAACTTTCGGAGCATATTTAATTTTTTATAATTTTTGAAAACTAATTAAAAATTTCTTATGTGTTTTTTTTTATGAAAATTTATTCATAATAATTTCCCAACATCTAGGTGAAATTATTTTTTTTTTTAGAAAAATATTTTTATTCCCTCCAACATCTAGGCAAGAAAAATAATAATAATAATAAATATTTTTTTGAACGTTTTTAATATATTTTTAACTATTATTTATTTTTAATTTTATTATTATTTAAACAATTAAACATTTATTCCATCAAATTTAAGAATTTATTATGCATCAATAAAAAAAATACTTAAAATAACAAAAATAATAATATAAAAAAATTCAAAAAAAATTTTTTTTTTTACCTGAATCAGACCGGTCAACGGTCCGATCAACGTTGGTCTGGACCGGTCTGACTGGTTCTGCGGTTCGGGCGGTCCAGTGGTTCGGATCGGTTCAGACCGATTCACTGGTGGTTCTTCTGGACCGATTTGAGGTTGGTTGAAGCAGGTTGGCGGGTCGATTTGTGCGGATCTCGGGTCGAATCCCGGTCAACGCGCGGATCCTCCTCCCATAAAACGACGTCGTTTTGCTTCTTAATCCTTTATATATAACCAAAAAAATTTTTTTTTTGCTCATTTGGTTTCTATTTTCAAAAAAAAAAAAGGGAAATAGAGAGAGAGAGCTCTAGGGGAGAGCTCCGGCAGTCTCGTCGTCCGGCCGCCAGAGCACCGCACCGATCGCCGTCAACGGTGGTCGCTAGTGGCCAGAAAATTACCAAAATT